TGTGTGTGTGTGTGTGTGTGTGTGTGTGTGTGTGTGTGTGTAACGAATGCACAGCCGCAATTTTCGACGGATTTGCACCAAAATTTACATGCACATGATCCAAGTTAGCGGGAAGGCCAACACCGACAGTGCATTTCCCAACTCCCATCGATAATGGAAATAATCGATTTTTTCATGCTTCTACGGCAATTTTCATGTAGTTTTCTACTGGCCAGAGTGAGAGCCAATAGCTGGCTGCCACGAATAGGCAGGAAGATTCTATTGGCCAGCGTGAGAGCCAACAGCTGACTGACACGAATGTTAACTAGCATGTAAAAAAATCGATAGCTGCATTCGTCAAAAGTGGGAAAGTTTAAATCTGCATGGCACTTTACTCCAATTGGCTCATTCGCTTGCTTAAACTCAACGTTGATTCTGATTCCGCAGAACTGGGTTGGGTGTGAAAAGTATTTGTTGTTAACATTCTTTTTTTTCGGTTTTTCCAGTTACGAGTCCTTTTTTAAAGCTGATCGTTTTTGTGTTCATTTTGTTTAGTTTTTTTTTTCGTAACAGATTTAATGTTTAGTATGGAGCTTAGAAAAAATTCGCAGTGTGAGATAGGCAAGAAGTAAGGCATGTAGCAACATCAGAACGGCAAAGGGCACTCCTTTAAAGGCAAGGAAGGGCAAAAAGTCAAGTGATAGCGATTGCTGTAAGAGTCGTACGATTTTTGAATCAAGCACGGGCAACGCAGGGCCATGCTGCTAGTGTAAAATATGAATATAATCTATTCAGAATAAGGTAAACATTAAACCACATATTACTTCCACTTACAGTAGTGTAAAACGTATTCATCAGGTTTGGTACATACCTATTGGTATTTATAGGTACGGTATATAACAATTGTATTAAGCGGGCCCCCTTGACAAAAACATTACTAATTTTTCATGATTATGGTTGTATCATTATCACAATAATTTAAAAGTTCCGCTCGAGTAGCTTCTTCTCACGAACTGCTGCTTTGTGGATCTTACTCCCAAGAGAATTCTTTCTCAATCACTGCAGTCTTAACCTTTTCAAGTCTAGGGTCAAAAATATGTGCCCCACATATCTCCATAAACTGTATGTCATACTCTGTAAGCCTTTACCTCGAGTCAGAGTGAAAATAATTGTAGAAAATAATTCAGTAGACTCCACGGCTGTTAAAACAAGCAGATCGAAATAATCATCCAATGACGCCATCGCCAAATAGCAACTTTATTTTGCGACCAAATAATTCTTTGTGGAATTTTCAAGCATTTTTCTAGTCATCATCAGAGTTATTGTTTGATTATTGTTACTTTTTTTATCACAATTTTCAGGGCAACACTAGAAAAATCGAAATGAAAGCAGTATCTTCTCACGAAACTTGAAAACAGGTTTTCACGGACGTCGGTCTAACCATTTCAATCAGTGAATCTATTATGTCTAAAAGCAAAATCCTTCTGTGTTTATTAGAAATTTCATAATTTAATCTAACCGCCATTTTTGTTTTACGACCTTGAAAAACCTGCTAGATTGTTTAAATACACTTTCTCAATTCATACAAGTCTCAAGAGCAACTCAAGATACACTGAATGAGAGTAAAGGGAGGAAGTGTATCTTATGGTTATATATAGGATAGATGCTTGTTGACACTAGACTTGAAGTATTTAAGTTCATTGAGGAAGCATCGTCTAAGAAGTCTGAAAATTTGTGCCATCGAAATATTCAGTTCTGAAAGAATCTCACCCAACGGCAGTAACCAACGTTTCGAGCGCTTACGAAGAGGAAAATGACACTGTGAACGTAATTAAGCAGTAGTTAATGTGTTTCAATAGTAGCTATAGCGGTTTATGCCAAAATGATGGTCTGCACAGCTGTCAATTCAATGCTGAAAACCGGCTCTATCAAACAGTCTATTGTGCCAATGTTAACGGTGATAATTTCTGTGGTAATGATATATTACGACCCTAACGTCCGCCATTCATTAGTTTTAATCTACTTTATTTATATGCAGACGTCAGTCAGTTATGTGCCATGTGTGATACACGCTGAGACGATCATGTATCTTTCATCAAAGGCTATAGAACCCGGTCTGTCCTGCTATATACTTATAACTGGAAGAGAGAAGAGGATTCATACCTTTCCCAAGGATATTAGCACGTCAGTCAGTTAGTTATGTGCTATGCGTGAAACACACTTAGGCGATCATGTATCTTTCGATACATCACTGACATGGCAGATCATTTTCCCGCAGTACGTTGTCATTTCTTTCTGCGGTAGACCAGTTGCCATACAAAGCTATAGAACTCGGTCTGCCCTGCTATTTACCCATAGCTGGGGGCGGGGAAGAGAAGAAGAGGATTCATATCTTTCACAGGGGTATTAGAACGTCAGTCAGTCAGCTATGTGCTATGCATGATACACGCTTAGGCGATCATGTATCTTTCGATACATGACTGACGAGGAAGATTTTTCCCGCAGTATGTTGCCATTTCTTTCTGTGATAGACCAGTTGCCATCCAAGGCTATAGAACCCGGTCTCTTCTATTTAGCCATAGCTGGGTGGGGGAAGAAGAAAAGGATTCATACCTTTCCTAAGGGTATTAGCACGTAAGTGAATGTATTGGATTTGACCTGGAATTCGTAAGCGGTCACAAATCTAGGTACTGACCAACCTTGACGTTGCTTAACTTTGTTGATCGTACGTGAACCGGTGTTTCGATGTGATGTGGACAATCTCCTCAGAGATGAGGAAGAAACTTGAGATGGTTAACCGCTTAAGGAATACTACGTGCTTGGATGGCAACTGGTCTATCACAGATTGCACCACCCACACATTCAAACTTGGTGCAATCGATAATGGCTTGGAATTGATAATCTGAGAGTTCCAATTCCAGTTGGGTTCCTTATATTCATTCACATCGCTAAATCATTATTTTCTCCCCCCACAAAAATATTACAATCTAAAAATATTTTCTGGCTTTAAATAACCTGCAAAAGGGTTGATAACCCGTAACAGATAAATCACTTAACCAATCAATATGTTCACCGTTCCTTGCCTTGTAAGAGGAGCAATATTATATAGGGGAGCGAGTTTTTCACACCAAAACAGGGATACAAGTCGACAAAAACATATGCCCACAAATCTTTCATTTTTGCGTTATTAAGTTTAAAGTTTAAGATAGACGTTTTTAAATGTACAATCCAAGATACAATCCAAAAATATTTATTACCATAGATTGTGGTTTCACTGATCTCGTCTCATCATTGCGACGGTTAACAGCAGCAAAGGTTAGATAACTCGACTGCCTTTGGTCTGAAAACGCAATCTGATATAGCTGTGCAGCCTCGCACCCATTACCGTTCTCGCGGCTATATGTAAAAATCATATCTACCCAGTTAAGATAGAAATATCCTGGCATTGTTAAACGGAACACTATATATGTTAAGTCACTATACACATTAAAGTTTGAAAACAGACCATCCACAAATGTACACGAATGACAAATGTAACCTACTCTAGATGACCAACATAGCATTAGCCCCAAGTATTTTTAATACACTCTGTATAAAAATATGCTCTTTTGGATTTAATTTTTCCTATTTCTTAATTCAATGTGTAGCTTTTGGAAAGCGTTTTTCACTATTTCACTCCAGCTTCGGATTTTGTTGTCAAATTGTCCGCTCATTGTTGAAATACTTCTTAGATATTTAAATTTTTGTACTTGCGTCAATTGTGTATCTCCTATTCGGTCTTCTTGCAATTAATGCTGAGATCAACACAGCGTCATCTGAATATCCGTTAAGATTGTGTTCGCCAGTTAATTATACGTTCTAGCGAGACTTCTACTTTTGTCATTATTGTCTCGCTGTAAAATTTGAATAAGCTTGTTGAGAAGACCCATACTTGTCATTGGTTTACTTTTTTTTAATTTTTGTGTTTGCTGAATTCATTTTCTATCCTTTTACAAGTTTATGTTCTAAATTATTCTATTATATTTCCCAAGTAAATACAGTTTTCCTAGTAGTTAAAATAGATCTTTGTGTCGTTCCCCGGATGATAGTCAATTTCATGAACCATTCTTATGTAGCGGTCGCTGCATGTAAAAACTTCTGGACTTTGCAATACAAGTCAACGAAAATAAGATAAAGATGAATACATTAAAAACGACAGCAAACGTAGTCTGAAAAGTCAAATTCTAATAGCAAAATAAAAACGCCGTTTACGAAGTTCCAAATCTCACAAAAAGAACAGAAAAATGAAGAAAAACAAAACATTTTTATTGCTACAGTCATCCGAAAGAACAACTTATCGTACACCATTTTGAAATCGACCCGGTTACTTTGTGTCAAAAGACGCCAATATATAACTTTTATTCTTTAATATGCGGCGCAAATCTCCGAAATCATAGACTAAACAGAGAGAGTCTGGCAGTTTTCTAGTCACGCAGATCCGTTTGTGTCTGATTCGTAAATTTATTTGATATTTGTCTAGCGGACTTGTCTGCGTTGGTTAAGCAAGGAAAGTCAACGATTGAAATTTAATCGACAGGAGATGCGAGAGAAAAGGAGAGGAAAAATGGCGCCTTCGGAAGAAACAGGAGGGAAGTAACGCAAACATTATGTATTTTATGATCGCAATATCGTGACGCCATTCCAAGATCTCTCAGCACAAAAACTATGAAGGCATTAAAAAAAAGAAAAGAAATATTGATCATAGCCACTATTATCGCGACTGACCACGAATAACAGCGATATTTTCTATGTTGTATTGTTAAAACTGTTTCTTAATACTAAGAAAAAAACACGCCATAATGGAATATTTGACATCATTTGAAAAAAAAAATATGTTGCCCTAAATATTGTCATTTTAACACGACATTTAAGATGGTCAGTTCGCCGCCCTTCTTCAGCTGAATATGCTACCCAATAAATTATCAAATATCAACTTATTATTTATGACACCGAAGTAGCATAATGATTAAAACAGGATCTACTTACGGCCATATCACGTTGAAACATCGGTTCCCGTATCTTCACAGAAGTTAAGAAACGTCGAGCCTGGTCAGTATCTATATGGGTGACCGCTTGAGAATACAAGGTGGTGTAAGCTTGGACATGCGGGTGGTGTGGTTTACGTCACTATCACACTGAAACACCCATTACTATACGATCACCGAAGTTAACCAATGTTCAGCCTGGTTAGTAGTTAGTGGATGACTTCTAGGGAATATCGGTTGGAGTAAATTTGGATGTGTGAGCAATGTAATAGTTTCTGAAGTGTTAATCGGGGAGCCGAGTTTCAATTTCCGTTGGGTTAGTTATATTTAACTTACACGCAATTAGACTTGGGTAAAGTATCAATCCACTTTTTTCTATCACACTTATGGCATAAATAGTAAGACTTACATCATTACACTGTTATTATCTCCAAAATTGGCCCTGATCTGGCATCTCGTCTATAGTCGCTCTCTCAGGCTTCATGAATTCAAGCGCCCTACAAGACTGGCATCCCACTCTCACCCTTTCACTGTTGAAACTATTAAATGTAGCCGTCTCTTCTACTTCAATAGCTTCACATCTCGCATCTCTCGCCTGTGGAACTCCCTTCCCTATTCCTGTTTCCATGAGAGCTATAATCTCCAACTATTCAAATGAAATGTCAATCGACATCTTCAGTTACCTCCATCTATCCACTACCCTTCTCCTCGTCCTTTCCTCTATCACTCCTATCTGCTCTTGCCCAAATCCTCTGTAACCCCTTGCGTCCTAGTGGCTTTCCGTCTTGCTTGGGATGAAACGCTTAAATAAAAAAAACAAACAAACAAAAAAAAACAAACAAAAAGACAAGAAAAAAGAAGAAATTCTTACAATCTAAAACAAACATTTTTGGGTTTTAAAAACCTGCAAAGGGTTGATAATCCATAGAAAACCAACCAATCCATCAATCAACGACACCCTTGTGCAAATTAATTGAAACAAAACGAATAATTATTTACTTTTTTCCTACATTTCCAATGAAACATGACCCAATGTACATGTTAGTACTTCGTATGTCCATTCTCCAAAGTTTTTACTTGCAGATTGACCACAGATTCTCGATTGGATTTAAATCAACAGAGTTTCCGAGCCAGTCGATAGTACTTTGATTTTCTAATTGATAATTCTTGCCAGTGTATTTGTGCAGGGTTACAATTTTTGTACGCTTCCTTGGAGTAACGTTCATCGCATGACCGTAGAACAACTAATCAACAATGGCCGTAGGACAACTAATCGACAGTCGAGACACTAGTGTCTGGGCGTGATTAAAATCTGATGCAATTACGGATGGCGCAATATTTTTCAAGACCAAACAAATCTCATCATACAACCCCGGAAATAGATTCATATTACTGCACACTGCTACAAATTACCTAATCTGAGGAAAAAATAGAAGTTGATTACACCCTGTCAATCCAGTGGGTCCTAAACTGACTGTATGGTTAAAGAAAGGAAACTAAATCAGTTGTTTGAATTAATTTGTACAAAGTTGTACTTAGGATTAACACTGATCCCCAAATCACTTCATTTAGGTTCAATAATTTAGAAGAAAATCAATCCGTATCGGGTGATTTAATATTAAATATAAATCTTATAAGGCAAAAATTGCGATGAATTAAGAAAAGGAAAAGTCAATCCAAATTCAGCATTATTCTAATCAATTCAAGCCATATCTTCAACTCAATAATTTTCCTTAGGGAGGGACTAGGCTACGGATCCTATCATCGATTATCAGTCCAGGAATTCCATTAATAATTCTTCTGTTGGCGGTTGCAAAAGGTTCGTCAAAACGCAATAGCCAAGAAGAACTAAAAAATAGCACTGCTTGGAAGGAAAGTGTGTAGAGTGTGGTCATCTCACCACATTACAGAGGATATATCAGTGACCATTCTTGAGTATCAGTGACAATGGCTTGTAGATGTCCCAGAATGGACATCCCAGATCAGTATCAGTTATCTCCCTTTAAGCCAACTCTTCAAGTTTTTTTTTCTAATTAATTTTTAAAATATTCCTCCTGTTATTTACACTATTTACATTGTTCGGACCGTTGTCCTCATCTTCGTTGCCATGTACACGCTCCGGCCTTCTTCAGGTGATTGGAATTTCGAACTGAACCCTTTATATTGTCCACTGAGATAGATTGTTCTTGTCAATATGGTAATGACGATGAGAGCAACAGACAGTAAACAGTGCAAATATCAATATCATTAGGAGAAGCGAAAAGTAGTTTCAGTTACACAACGACTTATCATTAATATTTACAACAGGACAAACTACTTATGGACATGGAAAAGGTTACAAAATTTACCCACAGATGCGTTCTTCTTTTATGTGTCGTTTCATTGCAGGGCGTAGGCGATAATGGCTCTCTACAATCTCCTACTCGTTGTACCTCTGAGCAGTATTTGACTTTTTACTTGTTCATTTTCTGCCACCCATTTACACAACACCGTTAGGTTGTTCACGATTTTCTTCAGTTCGTCTTGCTTTTAATATGTCCTGAGAGTGACAAATTCTCCAATCCTGCTTTCCTCATTATATGTCCTCGATAATCTGTACTGAGTAAAAGTGTATTCCTTGTTTGTATTCTTTTTAAAAATCCCACGCTGTTTACATGCTCTGCTTATTGCATTCTCAGTATCCTTCTGTAGAACTATATTTACCCCAAGTCTCATCTTCACCTACGAGAAAATTTTCCAGCATTAACTATCATAACGGAAGCATGGTATTTCATTACTGTTGAGTACTAATATCGTTTTTTTCTTGTTTCTTAATATTCTGCTTAAGTTCAGGAAGGCATCTTTCCCTATTACAATGAGTCTTTCGATTTTATGTTAGGACAGGACGAAACTTGATGTAAATAATCCCTGATTTAATAATCCCTGGAGATTACAGATTTGCGATATCATTTTTCTATTCAACTAATGTATAAGTCCATGGGTCACACTGACGCTGTTTGGGTATTGACTAGAGGAAACATTTAACATGCACGCGTGTAGGACCCACGTATTAAATCAGACTGAATCATATTTGCCACGTAATTACTAGAATTATTATTTTGGTCAGGTAAGTGATATTGATACAAGTATATCTATTCTTTGAAAATTAGACACCCGAGACAGCATCTCCCAACTAAAAAAGTAATGATTTACTGTGATACTAAAATAGTAGAGTTTATGGAAATTGGGTAATTTCGCCTATACTCACACCTACGCGTATGGGGTTACATATCAAATCTAACGTGGCGTTGCCTATGTTTTCAGGGCGAAGTGAAAAAAATCGCAATATCTTTGCGATATCAAGTCCTCTAGGCATAGAAGCAGTCGTGTTTTGTCTTCATGTCTGCAGCCAAAAAGAAGACTGATTCTATAAGTGGAGGGATTCTAGTAAACAAGGAGAATAAATCATAATTGTAGTCCCAGGAAAATAAAAAATACAGGACAGTATCTCCCAACTGCACAAAAGGAGAAAGCCTTGATTTGCCAAAATCACACATTTCGCAGTGCGAGGATAACACATTTTCTTGTTAAGATATGAAATGATAGAAAATTGAAGCCGTTGTACATGAAATTTCATAGCAGTGTAACCCTTCTGCACCTTTTCTGTTTGATTTTGTTTAGCGGCATATCAACACCTGTATTGGTTATTTAATGCCAAAATCTAAATATTTTAATACAATTTTGAGGCTTCAGCTAAAAATATTTTGAGCGCAATTTTATGCCTTTAATTTGTTTTAAAACTAAATTGTTGGAGAGTTTACTATAAATAGGTATTGTTGTTAATTTTACAATGTATAGGTATTGTTGATAATTTTACTGTATAAAATGTATTTCTGGTATTTTTGATACAAAAAACATAATTTTATATTTTCGTAGTGTTTGGGGGATTCACTATTTGCCCATTACTGGGGTTTTCACAGGTGCTACCACCCCCCGGCCAGGGTGGACCTCGGAAAAACAGCAATTACGAGGCGATTCCACACTCCTCAAAACCTCAAATCTCGCAAACAGAGGCCTTGCTGCCGAATGTATTTTATTGTCCTACTCAGGACCACTTATTGAACCTACTACGCTAAGTCTTTGTTTCTATCCACATGGAGATTATGCATTTTATTCCTTTTTATTTATGCCATATATTTCTACTTGGAGATGTGTCATTGTGTCGTAGCAAATTACCAAATAAAACTCGAGACTTAATCTTTCATGCGTTATTTTATTCATTACGCATTTCCCATATATTCAAGCCTAGATAAAAAATAAACAAACGAGAATTTCGAGTCCTGACTGCCAATGTAAACAAGTAGGTAATTATTGAATCAGTGAATGAAATCGAAGTTAGCTTCAATAAACTATTATATTTTTCATAGAATTTCTTAAAATCTCTTGAATTTATGTTTCTTTAGACGAGATAATTCGAGTTAACTCATATTCTACTCTTAATGCGTTACTGAGAGAAATAGAAGTCTTATCAGGATCCGTTACTGGCAAACAAAATCTTATAATCTCTACAGATGACACTGTGTTGATATCAGACATACAAAGAAACTGGAGGAAAATTTATAAATGATAGTGAAGGACCCTATACAACTGACCGTATAGGGAAAGAAAAGAAACTAAAGCGGTTTTTTAATCAATTTGCTCAAGGGTGTATGTTCTTGTTTGATTTTGACGTCTCTATTTCGTAGCTCACATCTTAATCTGTTCAATTTGCTGACGATCATACTTTACGTATTATAACAATTGATTATTTGTTTTTTATTGAGAATTTCTTTAATATCGTCTCGAGGCTCTAGTAGTTTTTGTTGTTATCGGGTCAAGGAATAGGAGAAATCTTTATCTCACTAGAATATTAAATAAAAGCATAGAAGGAAATGAAAGACGTGGCAGCGAATTGTTAAAAATCTCGTAGTTATTAAATGGATACATACCTATATTTTATAGATTATTTAAAAGCGTTTCATAACGTACATTACAAAGAAGTGTTAGAATTGCTACACAACCTTAACATATATTGGAAGGGTATTAGAATAATCCAGAACGTATATTGACAGCAAATTCAGTAAATATACCAA